TCGACGGTTTCTGTGTTTTTTCTCAACTGTTGCTTTTCTTAGTGAGCACCTTGGTAGTCGTTTTCGAAGCCCACTAATGAAAATCTATTTTGAACAGCCTCCTTGGCATACAGTGAACGCACGCAAAATGGTTATTCCTCCTTGCCCTTTTACACGTAACTATTATCAAATCAGTTTCCAAGTAATATAAGTCTCAGATAGCACAAGTGGATATCCATAGTAAGAGCTGCACTCCGCGACACCTCCATCCAGCAAGCCATCAAACGCCATTCCTCACATACCTATTTGCGAAAGAGGCTCGCAGGCAAATAGCACGGTTCCTTGCAGAGAACGGATATATGTAGGAGCACAGCACCTAGTAGTGGGAAAGTGAAGAAATACGGGACATAAGGGCCGAAGCCGCCTCCATCAAGAAGCGGGCAACCATAGGCCTGGGAAGAATCATCGTTAATCAGCGATCAATGCTGAACAAAAGTGTTCGTAACAATAACAGGAACATACTGCCTGCTAGGCTTACATGAAACAACGTTCAAATGTTCACGAGAATGCAGTACAAACAACCATAGATACAATATTATATTCTCATAATGTTCTCCCTTGACAGGATATTTTCTCTTCACGCTTCGTCGATTTATTGTGCCTTTAATTAGTGTACAAGAGAGCTCCAGCTGTCCGGCATAGATTCGTGCTCACATTTCATATTATGATATTGTTGCACAGACTAAAATCGCGTTCTATCCTAGAAACTTTTTGGAGACAAAATTATAAAGGGCTTTCTAACGTCGGTGAAGTATGCAGTCACCTCGTACTTGTCGAAAACCATTGACGTTTTTGTGCGCATTACCTTGGATACCACTTTGAATATTTTCCCAACAAATGACATTCTCGTGCTCATGAAACTTTATTACTATCTTCTATCTTGTGAACCTATTACCGTCTTGTGAACGAAACCTCAGTTCACTGGAAAACGGCAGAGTTTTGCGTAATAAAGTTTTTTTAACATTGCGATAGCACTTGTTCACCGTCCATTCACTATGTCACAGATGTGACTAGAGCACAGGAGAACATACAGGGTAACTTCTGTGCAGTAACGAATGTTGATAGCTGTAGAAGGCTTCACACACATTTCTAGAGAGATCAAAGCTTTGATAACCCGAGGTGCACGAGAGATTGGTGTAAGAGTACGTGTAAGGCCTCTACAGCCATTCTCCTTCTTTTCTTTCAGCTAGGTTCTATAGGGCGTCAAGCATGAGTTTTCGACCATAGAGCATCTACTTGGAGCATTCATACTTTAACTGTTCTATTTTCTCGACTTAGCTTTTCTTATTGTATTTCGCAGCCAATGTGTATGCCCTATTGCATTAAGTCAATGTATATGATTTATGTGTTTTAATCATGATACCTCGATAACGTTTAACTACCCAAGTTTAGTGTTAAAACTACCACTGAGTTACATATTAGCACACATTACGCGGTGTTTCTTTGAAGACAGCCCCGCGCTCAAGTAGTACACGGTCGTCCTTCCTTGTGCAAGTAGTCCAGCCCCCAAGCTAGATACTGTCCCACTCTCGCGACTCCACAGTGAGCGAGGAGCGAGCTACAGCTGCTCCTCGCTACAGCTCGCTCAAAGTTCTAGTTCTAACGCCTGCCAGTTGGACCGCCCACTTGCTAGTTGCCCTCTGACGGAGAAGCCGCTCAGTTGTTCTTTGTTGGGACGGCGGGCATTAATCGGAATTGCATGTACTTTTTGCTGACCGCGCTCGTGCCCATAAATAATTCTGCTCTCCTTTATTACATTTTATTCATTGGGAGCACATACAGTCAACTGCAACCCATCTCGCAAGGTAAAACGCGTAAAAATCACGAGTGATGCAATTTCTGTGGTGCAAAAGCTCGACATGCACTAAAAGCTGCACACTGCACGTAACCCCAAATGCATACACCTAGTTTTCGATTTTTCTTTTTTATGTGTTTTTCGTTCGTGTTTCCAATGTTTATCGTATTCTTTTCTTTGCACTGGATGATATCCACTACTGGGATATGTGATAAAGTGATTTGTGAGCCAGGGTTGCACAGGGACCGCAGGGCGGTGTGACTGTCAGGGAGTGATTTTGTTTATGTTGTTCTTGAGGGCTGTTCTTCGTTTTTCCTTCGTTGAGGAATTACTTATTAGCTACTGTTTCATAATTCAACAGCAACTATCGTGTCAGTTTTGTCGCCGCGGGAGCTGTTTTTGAGCTTCACTTTTTAGATAACGCAAGCTGAATGCTCTCTGAACAAGAACCAAGGCGAAGTATCAATTAACGTGTCGCATTCTACCTAACAATTAGGACTTCATTCCAGGTTAGCTGAGGTATCGTTCTTCACACAAGAATGCAGGAGCTCATTACTACTCTAATCTTTACTTCCGAACCCTTCTCATTCTTCTTCGACGTTTGTCCCGCTCTGTAGCGAACGTCCCCTCTTCTGGTATTGTGACGGAAATTCTTAATGGTTGATTACCTGATCAAATGGCAGGATCAACTATATTCACCCTCCACATGCGATGTATCAAAGTCATTCTGTTTGAGGTGTACTTTATGCCCTTATTGGGCCCCAGACAAGCTGGAGATCAACATGCGGGCAGAGTCAGGTTTGGCGTGAATCACCTAAGACGAGCTTTGCGCAGTTTATTGACTACGCGAGTTACATCACTCAATAATTCAGTATGTTATATTGTGCCTCACGAGGCTTTTAGGTGGAACTATTTATTGAACGGCCTGACGACGAACACGCGAGAAAAATCCGCGCCAAAGCAAGTTGCCACTATGTCTTCCTTTCATCTCTGATAAGGTCACTGCTGCAATACAACGGAGCATTGCTAGAGCGCAGCTGCAAGATGCCGTTCAGTTAGTGAACACTCCTAACAACAACAACAACAACAACATCAAGCAGCAGAAGTTCGAAGCAGTGTATAGTGGAAGACTGTGTCATTTGTCCGTACGGAAAAATCGGTGATTGCGCACAAACGGGCGTGATCTACCAGATTGAATGTCGGACATGCGAATGGCTCTATATTGGAGAACAAGAAGACCGCTCGCTAAACGTATCAAGGGCACGATAATCTTACGACAGCGCTTGGGAAGCATAAAGCGGAGGTGCATAACGGCGACAACTTTGCGATAAAGTGCACAATATTGGCGCAGGAGACGGATATTGCGGCTAGGAAGGCATTAGAGGCGTTTTGGATTTCTGTCAGAAATCCTCGCATGAACAACCGAGACGAGCGTCCGTCAATTTCCAATGACCTCCTGTCGTTCATTCCGTATTGCGAGCTATAAAGTCACCAGTGCTACGTGCGTCTCCGCGTTTCGATACGTATAAGGAGACGCTATATGTAGTAAGTCTCATTCGCTACTGGTTGACTTATGGAATAGCGGATTATTCCGCGTCTACGGTGGAACAAAGGTGAGCGCCTTCGTGTTCTGTTGTGTGAGATTCTCGGTTGAGTTTCACTATGTCATCGGAAATGCTGGGGTGGATTAGGCGCTTGGCGGGGTAGTGCACATATCTTAATCTCGGAACACTTTTATTCCTCTGAAGGTCGAGGTTAAAAGAAGAGAGAAGCTGGAGAATCTCCCGCGTATGTTATAGTTGCCGTCTATATGTTGCATTTTCATCACCCTTGGTTGAAAGTATGCCCACACCCTGCACACGCGGCAGATCGAGTGAGACTTCTACGGACTTTGGTTCGAGGCGCACTGTCATAGTGACGGCAGCCATGGAGCGCCATTCAGACCAAGATACACTCCAAATGCCAGTGATGGTAGTGGGCGTTGCTGCATATTTTACTTGGACTGGACGTGGCACAAGGTGCGTTGCTCCTGGAAGATTCCCATTTGATACAAGTGTGATCCTTCTGTATAGTGGACAAAGTAATTGTCAACTGCTCTGAACCGTCATGGTCAGCTGCACCGTAACATCAATCAGACGAACAGCTGCCGCGCGTCCAAATGGTGTAGGCAGCCATTTACTCCCCATCACCGGAATAGTGGTGTTCGTATGTACATCCAAGACGCGAATTCGCTTCTGAGTTGGGATTCCCGTCTAGAAATGGATGTCATGCTCTATGTAGAATAAAGCAAATGCTCATTCTTCGGCTCATGAAAGGTGTTTCCAAGAGAATTATACCCGTCTTCCGCTCACCTAGGGAAGTGGAGTGAAAGTGGCTCAAGAAGCGGATAGGGCGAGACTACATGAGCAATAATTTCGTTTTTGGAATTTGAAAGACAATTCGAAAGACAAAGTGGAGGGGTGCTTGAATAACTGCAATCTACAGCCTGCTACTGTGGTCTGGAAGACTCACGCCTTACATGTAAAACCTCCGACTATGTATTTAGTTGTCCTTACATCCGGGTCTCGCTCGCACAGCCCATGTCCCTTGGCGTCACGATTGTTCATCTTCGTCTGAAGTCGTATGGTTTAAGGTAGCCGTAATCAAGACGTTTCCCACTACACCATTTACAGTGTTTCCACCGCTGAGCTGGTGAGTACGTGGATTTTCATTTTGGAGCTCGCTATCTGCTCCCGAAAGATGCGGAATGTCTTCTCAAATGTAGATTTAGAGAGCAGCCGATACAATTCAGTTCCAAAGAGCAGGACTGGCCCAAAGGTGTCACGGTTTGTTGTAATTTCTGTCGTACAGCAGAGCAGTGGACGATCCATTGGTGTGTGTACTTCTGCCAAGCTTATTTTGAGAGATGACAGGATCAGCCACTCTCGAACTATCGGGTGAAACCAAAAGTTCTAGCCAATGGCGCCAACTTCGATTTTTTTTGCTGCACTAAAATGTTTCTTTATGGGGATTTGAGCTCTCGGATAACGTCTAAGAGGACCCTGACGTAGAATAGATCGGAACATTCTTCTTTAAGCTAATGTGATGCCCAGCGGCTTCAACCATGACGGGTCACTCATTTCATTCACATTCACCTTCAAATGAATCGCTAATATCGGTGACGAAAATGCTGGGCTGTAGCACGGCTCTGAATGTTTCCTGTTGCCAGCAGCTGTTGAGTATCGCTCGAGTCATCAACAATCACCTGTGGTATGAATACAAGAAATCCGAGGTAATTCTTCTTAGCATGCGTTTTTTTCTGTTTGAAACTATTTTTACAAAGAGAGTGAGAAGTTCCTGCAACATCTTGTTTGAGTTTATTAGAGTCACAGGCCCCATAGTCTCATAAAGTCCATATACCTGAGGAAGAGAGTGCCAAGGCATGTTACGGTAGCGGAGCTCTACAGTCCTCATCATTACGTACTGTCGGGGAGGCACAGCCGCTGTCGCGTCACAGTGCAGCGCGGCTATGCCGCCAAGGCAGTCCGTAATGATGAGGATTGCACAGCTGCCGATTCATTATGCAGTATCACTGATCGATGCCCATCAAGCGGGCGTCGTATTTGGTCCTGAAAGAATTTTTTCATGTTAGCTATTACAAACGATAATGAAACTGGAGGGGAT